TACATGTTTCAAAAAATTATAAAAATAAATAACAGAAATGTGGTGCGTGCATATGTATTCACCCCCTTTGCTATGAATCCCCTAAATAAGATCTGGTGCAACCAATTACCTTCAGAAGTCACGTAATTAGTTGAATAAAGTCCACCTGTGTGCAATCTAAGTGTCACATGATCTCAGTATATATACACCTGTTCTGAAAGGCCCCAGAGTCTGCAACACTAGTAAGCAAGTGGCACCACCAAGCAAACAGCACCATGAAGACCAAGGAGCTCTCCAAACTGGTCAGGGACAAAGTTGTGGAGAAGTACAGATCAGGGTTGGGTTATAAAAAAATATCAGAAACTTTGAACATCCCACGGAGCACCATTAAATAAAAAAATTTTAATGGAAAGAATATGGCACCACAACAAACCTGCCAAGAGAGGGCCGCCCACCAAAACTCACGGACCAAGGAGGGCATTAATCAGAGAGGCAACAAAGAGACCAAAAATAACCCTGAAGGAGCTGCAAAGGTCCACAGCGGAGATTGGAGTATCTGTCCATAGGACCACTTTAAGCCGTACACTCCACAGAGCTGGGCTTTACAGAAGAGTGGCCAGAAAAAAAGGCATTGTTTAATGAAAAAAATAAGCAAACACGTTTGGTGTTCACCAAAAGGCATGTGGGAGACTACCCAAACATATGGAAGAAGGTACTCTGGTCAGATGAGACTAAAATTGAGCTTTTTGGCCATCAAGGAAAACGCTATGTCTGGCGTAAACCCAACACCTCTCATCACCCTGGGAACACCATCCCCACAGTGAAGCATGGTGGTGGCAGCATCAGGCTGTGGAATAGTTATGCACGCTCAGGTTTTCTGTTTTTTTTTTCTAATTTGTTGTTAGTTTCACAATAAAAAATATTTTGCATCTTCAAAGTGGTAGGCATGTTGTGTAAATGAAATTATACAAACCCCCCAAAAATCTATTTTAATTCCAGGTTGTAAGGCACCAAAATAGGGAAAATGCCAAGGGGGTGAATACTTTCGCAAGCCACTGTATGTTTCTAAACACTTCTACATCAATGTGGATGCTGCCATGATTACGGATAATCCTGAATAAATCATGAATGATGATGAGTGAGAATGTTACAGAGGGTCAAACATATTCTATTCTTATTTACAATAAAAGTGACTCCAAAATGACACAATACATTATTTACCATTCATTTATATTGGGCACAAAATAATCTGAAACACAACCAAAACTAACTGCAAATGCATCCAACAAGTTTGTAGAGTCACAAGGTTGATGTAGTCATTGCGTGCTAAGAATATGGCACCAAATACTACAACAAAAATATTACTAGTTAAACAAAATCTCAAGGGTATCAGTAATTTCGGACACCACTCTACATGCACATTAGTCAGAATGCATTTCAGATACATTTTATTTCCAAAACCAATATTGAAGGAAATGTACTACAAGAATAAGATACTTATGTTTTTTCAGGCACTGTTTTATTCTCTCACAGTGTATTGAGTTAGTTTTCACATAACAACACAGAAACATTTGAAAGGAATGGCGTATCATACATAGGTGAAAGACAGGATTAAATATGGCTATGTTTGAAAGCTATACAGAGATGATGTCAATGACAAAACGTCAATAACATAATGGATTTCCATGTCCGTCAGCGTTATACAGAACAAACACAAACAATATGCATGTTAACACATTATTAACATATTCATGTCTTTGAGGCTGTCATGATGGAAAAAAATATAGTATATATTTACATTTTTATATTTTCAAATACAATAAGTACAATGCAACAATAGTATGTTATAGCTGGGAGGTAAATTACGTTTTCGAGACTCAAAAGGAGTGGAATCATCTGATCTCATCTAACTTCCTCACCTTTCCACTGCAATCACTTCTTAGTGATACAGTGCTCTGAACAATGTTGCTGCTGTGTCACCCCACCTGTGGTGTATGAGCTTAGTTACAACATTACAATACAAAGTGCCTTAAAAGCTGGTGAAAAAGCACTAAATAAATGCAATCCATTCTTGTAGTATAAGAATCCTTTTCTCTTCACATCAGTAAACAAGTAAACACTTATCACATTTAAAGATTTACAGCCAGAGTTAACATGTTCAGCAAGCATCATATCTACAAATGTATTTTGTAAAATGGAGGATAACAAGGAGTAGGACTTCAACAAAGATATTCAACCCTATTATTATGGCTATAAATGAGGTTCAGAAGGATTACCTCCATAATTTACTCCTCTTGTTGGCTTTCATTAACTGAGTTTCCAATTTTACCCTGTTTCTATACAGTGCAGCTGCAGTTTCAAAGGAGTTGTGATTAATTGCACTGTCTGAATGAGAGAGAATCTTACAAGAGTCAGCATAAAAAACGTCATTTCTTTGTAATGGAACTATTCCCATCTTCACTGCGTGTAATGACAACACACTATAACCAACTTGCCTCACCTATATTATCTGTACAGCAAATCAAATAATTGTTTTTCCTTGTAATGGGACCTGATTTGGGCAAACTCTATGTGGTAACCTTGTATATGTAAATGACCTCAAATAAAAACTAAAGTTGTATTTCACTCATTAATCACTGGACCTTCAGCACATGGTCTCTCAGCTCGACAATACACCTAACATTGGGTTATAATCGCAATGTGGTGTTGAAAGAAACACTCATAAACTAATAAACAAACTACGTTGTTAATCAAATTTGTATGGTAGAATAATCCATTACTGGCTCGGTTATTTATTCTTCTTGACTTTTTCTCTTAAGTATCGCCCAAACATTGAGGCTTCTGTGAATCACATTGATCTTGAATGTAACATTAAACACATTTATGCTACAAAGTCATTATCGACAGTTAGTTTCTTTGGTTTGGTGTGGAATCAAGCACTATAAGAGTTTTGCTCTATTTTTCAAAAAAGTAGTAATCCTTCTCGCTGTTATTAGTAAAGATATTCATGTCTGCCATTGCTTCAGCTAAAATATGGTTAGAAGATTATGTACTTTATAAAGTGTAAATACTGCGCCCTTGTCAAGCAAATAAGTAAAGGGTTTGGAAGCTGCATGAATATTATTCAGGTAGTCTATGTTGTATATATATATATGTTTTAAAATTAGTCTAATATGTCTTTATTAAGTCTGCATCGCTAATCAAAGTTGATACAAATGCAGCACAATCCGCCTCTGGTTATAGACCTAGAGGAGTGATGGAAAGCTTTGTTCTAGTTTCAATGTAGCCAAATGAAAAGTCTATTTTTCTGTCTTGCTTTTTTTGCTGCTTTTATATCCGATAATGATGAAGGCTATTTACAGCTGCCAATTTGGGGTAATCACATCAAGATTATGATATAATGGGTATTATTAGAATATAATAATATGAATATACATGCTATCAATTTCTTGCTTTATTGACTTTGTGTCAATACAAGAGCTAAGCCTCAATAATGCCTAATGATTATTTACCAAAACATTGTCTTAGTCTTATTTCAGACCTGAAATGATGAACTGCCTCAGTAAGTATGGAAATAAATTGTGTTGAATATACCTCTGGAGGAAATGTTGTATTCATTTTGCTTACAGTAAAAGTGTGGCACAGAAAACATGACCTGTCAGATATAATTATTGAAGGCCTACTTCTTTTTTTTTGCTTAAGCACACTTTATTTTGTGTATATTTATATATTCAAATATATTATTCAATTTCAAATAAGTTACAGGTTACAAAACCAGGCTGTTGTAAAACACAACCTTTGTGTATCACTTAAGCAATAAGGCATGAGAACCTGGGGATTATCGTGTGAATAGTTCCCAACTAAGGGCTGTTCTAAGGCCCAACACGGAGCGGAGGACCGTGGAAACAGCCCTCAGGAGGGTGTTATTTACCATAATTCCCGGGTTCAAGGGCCTTATTGCTTTTATATATATATTTAAAGTTTTAATTTAAAATGTTATTTTAATGAGTACATTTGTTTTGTTTCATCCTTCCACCAGAGGATATAGTCCAGGCAAAAGCCAATTGTTAGTTCTGAGATTCTGAAGTTGCTAGACAAATGAGCTGGTTGTCCATTCCAAACGTTCTAAGCAAAAAAAGGTTGCCATGCAGGCTAGCTACTTGTCCTTTGCTAGCTAGCCAACTAAAGCCAACACACAATTACATCAAACAGCTGAAATAACAGCAAACTTTTTGCAATTCCGTTTGTTTTACCTTTGTTTCTTTTGCCATTTATTTTGATATATCCATTACAATGATCCTAATAAATGAGTTTGCCTGGCTCAGAGAAGCTGTCTGTCTCGTCACGTTCATTCTCTCTATGGCACGGTGCAGATCGCAAAATAAACTGCAACATTGTTGCACAGGTCGGAGAGGCAGGCAGCAAGGTTTAGAGTCTAGACAAACCCCAACTGTTACAAACCAAATGCTAGCCTAGTAGCTTGGGGAAATAATGTCTACATACTTTTTTCCAGGGGAGTTTATATATTTTTATAAATTGCCTGGCTGGACTGTGGGACAGTGGATGCGCATTGATAATTCAAATGAAACTGTTAACAGGCATTACCCAGGGATTGTGATGAATAACTCCCTGCTGTCAACCAACCAGCATCCAGGATCCAAACTACCCGTTTTATAAAATGCATTAAATCCGTAGAGGTTAGGAACCAAACATCATGCAATTGCTGGTGGGTATGACCCGGAGTCTGGCCCTGTTCTGACCTCATCTCACAGCTGCATTCATCTGTGAGCCATCTCCTAGAAAAATAGTACAGATACAAACATAGGGAGCAGTTCAAATATTGGTGAGACTAAGCAATTTTATCCATTTATATCCTGGCTTTAAATTGCAAAGCAGGACACCCACCCCCCTCCCATCTTATCGTCAACAGTGCCGAGAATAGCAAGTAAAGAGAGTAAACAAACATTTTGACCTGTTTTCTCTGAAGTAAAAGGCTATTGCTCCTCTTTGCTAGACTAGATTTATAAGTACAGATACCCGATCCAGTAGACCAGGTTGAAAAGGCCAAAGGCGGTGGGGAAGAATATTCGTGAGTAGGAATCGATCTTTGAGACTCGGACATGCATCCGATTTTCACGCCATGCTCCGGAGCGACAGTCGTCGAAGCAGCAGAAGAAGCTGGTGCAGTCCTTCCCATCCAGACACTCATAGGCATAATCGTCCTCGTCTTGGTAGGGGGCAATGTTATTCATCTGGAGCAGTGACGTCCCTGGCCTAATGTTCACCATGCTGCTGGATTTCTGTAGGTAAATATTACAATTGTGGTTGAGTTATTCATTTCTTTCTGGGAATACGCTTCAAGATAGGATTTTTATTTACCATTCACTTTACGTTTTATATAGCTTACAACATTTGTGTGGTGAACGTTCTCTCACATAATGGATGCCATTCATGGTGAATGAGAGCTGAAGATCATAGATGTATATTATAAATGCAATATATCACATTCAAATTCATCACGGTGGCTGTGGGAATATGCTAGGAAGAGCAGAGTGGTTCAGCCATATTTAGTCAATAAAAAGGCATACAGTTTCTCCTAAGCAGGAAATTGGCATTGGCCTTTTTCACTGCATTTCATGCCGTTTGCTTTTTGTACTATAAGACCTTGCCATTTGTATGGCGCTTACAGGGATTTCATTTTCTCTGCTCAATATCACTGCATCTCAGTCCCAGTTGGAAGGATTCGTGACCGTTTACAGCGATGACTTATGCCCTCTCTGTATTCCCACTCCTCTGCCGAGTGTGTTTACTCTCCCACAGAAATCTATGCTTCACAAAGTCTTTGAAACCCGGCTAAATATGATTACAGACTAAAGAAATCTATCTCAATCCCTTGGCTAAGGCAAACAAAATAATGCCTTGAGTTATAGGCAGCATCGTTACTAATGAATGACGAATTTGACCTTGGAAATGGCAATGTTAAAGTTCATGATGTTAATGTAGCTACTGCAGCTTCCTTTCTTCCTCCATTTGTGTAGTTGATGTATGCAGATTGACTCATTGTCAAGGTTATATGCTGTTATACACTATTTTGTAGTTAATTACTAAAAAATTGTATGTGCGTGTTCACACAGCTCATTGAAATCTCCTATTTACATTGCTGTGATTTGATTACTTGCCTTGATTTTAAAACTGTACAAATAATATATTCCCATAAAAAGAATCTTCAAATTAAATAGCAGAAGCTACTGGGAACAGTGGTGTCTCTACCTGTGGTGCATTTTTGTCCGTATCCTTCTTGCTCTGCCTGTTGCTGGTGAAGTAGTGTAGAGTCCCATACTCCATCAGAGCAGCAAACGTGAAGATGAAGCAAACAGACACAAACAGGTCCATGGCCGTCACATAGGACACCTTGGGAAGTGACTTCCTGGAGATGGTGCTCAGCGTTGTCATGGTAAGCACCGTGGTGATTCCTGCACAGGAAGTCACAAAGCCAGTTTAATGGTTTAGCTGGTTGAGCTGATTTTGTGTGTTCACGTAACTGACACTAGCCATTAGAAAATATGATATTTAGTCCTTTACAAAGGGCTGTAAGAAACGAGAGATACCCAAGGAGGTCCTGGCAGGGACAGCATCTTTGTTGATCCAAAAAGAGACCCATGACAGCACCACGATCATGCTGCAGGGGATGTACGTCTGAATAGTGAAGTAGCCCATTCGCCGACTCAGGTCAAAAAATATTGTCAAGATGACATATTCACCTAGACATTCAAAAGAGAAACATACCAGCATATAAAAGAAGTTAAAATGTTTAGCATCATTTCGTAAAACTTAAAAGCCACACCAGAGCTAAGAATGCATTTTCTAAAAGGATGCATGTCATCCCTTACCTGACTGTGTATGCGCCACGTCTGATGTGTTTCGTAAACCGACGAACGCAAACTGGTAGAGTCTCCAGTACCTTTGGTCGGCCACTTCCACAGAACGCTTTTGCCAACGGTACAGAATCTCATTTTTTGGATAGCCATCTAGAGGGGTGTACGGTTGAACACACACAAACACACACATGTAACATTAGGAACCTCTCATTGTCCAGCCTTGTAGAAGCCATAATCCAGAACACAACAGTGAATCTCAGTACACCACAGGTGCATACTATATGGCCAAGCACGGGAGCATTCAAGATGGAACACATCCTTCCTCTAACCATGGGATGCCCTTCCAGTTTACACTGTAGCGCTCAACAGGGTGTGTGGGGGTTAAGATCATGACAACGAGACATGAGAAGCTGAAGCACAATGCAGGACGGATGGAGAATGACACAGACAGAGCATGAATCAGTTTGGGGGCACTGCATAATTCATTAGTCTGTCAGAGAATGGTACTTTGTGACCTCCTTTCTTCCCCGGTGGAGCAGATGATAGATCATACAGGCTGAAGGGACAGCCTCAAGCAGATGGGCTTGTGGGGGGCTGGGGCTCAGCTCCTAATGCTGGCCCGCTCTGACACCCTCTCTGGGCTAGCTACTGAAGCTGAAGTCGAAATGACGGGGAGAGTGTTTAAACACCTACAGCTCGAAAACTCCAGCGGACACGAGTGCTCGTCCATAGGAAAGTTATGCAGCTTAAGGTAGCATTCCGCATTAATAGTCAACCTGACAAAAACAGAATTGTGACAGAGAAAAGTTAATGATGTGTTACATTGATTTTGTAATGTGTTTTTTTCCCCAAATAGGCTGGATCGTAACAATTACAAACAAAGTATTTCCCTCTCTTTTATTTAAACAAATGCTAGGGAAAAATAACAATGGCTTCAAGATCATGCTTCGACAAATAGCGGGTGCCTAAAAGAGGGCTACAAGACAAAAGTACAGATGCACAAACTAGAGCTGCACATACCACGAGTACTAAACACAGAGTCCTCGAAAAACAAAGAATGGCAGCCGTCATCCTCCTACCTCAGTGTGTACATCACTCTCCCGTTGTTCCACAGTCGTAGCAGACGGTTCGGAGTGGTGATCCAGTGGGCGTCAGACTTTCTAGAATTTCGGAAAAAGGTGTCAGGAATCCAGATCTTTCCCACCATGTTACTGTTGAGCATCAGGACTTTCATGGAGCTGTTGAACTTAAGGCGACTGTCATACCACGTCTGGGCAAAGAAGATGTCTATGGTGTACTCCTGAAACAAGATGGACACATAGGTTAACTCTGCCATGAAACAGTTATTTTACGCCAATGTATTGTGCCGCTGCCATGATTATGTGTTGGGCAATGTATTAGATTGTTGCTCTCCTGTATTCATTCTGTTTCAACGAAGAGCATTGATGCAGTACATGACAAGACAGGACTTACCATGTTTTTTTGTGTATTTTGTATGTTTATTGGATAAAGAGAGATAGAGGTGAAAGGTACGACAGTGACTGCTGAAAGTGTGCCGGATTCGAACCCATGCTAACAGCTGTACATCATACATATGCTCCAGAGGCAGCAGCTTAGAAGGCTAGACCACCCCAGGCCACCAGACTCACCATGTTAATAGGATCGACTGGTCCGATGCTGTTGACATATACCGCTGTCTCAATCACGGTGGGCCTTACTGAAACAAAAAACAAAACACCTTTCACCTTTATGAACGTAACCTATCTCTACAGTATAGCCTACCAGGGGCTCTCAAATAATGCAAGTATGTATGAGGTCAAAGAAAGAACCACATTCTTACTGCTTCCATGCTACTATACACAGTAGGCTATACAGTCCACAATCTCAAACTAACCAAACAACTTTAGGCTACTATGCTTTAGGCTACTATTTTTTCACAAAAACAATTGTATCCTCCCTGTCAGTGTACACAACAAACGAATGAACTGAACTTCTAACAATGACCCAGTGCCTTGCGATCAATCATGATTTGGCTCAGTTGCATTCTAGCCACCGTGTGTAATCAATCTGCTTAAAAATAACTTCACATTGGCCTGCACACAGCACAGTTACGCCATTGCCTTGGAGGGATATTTTAAGAAAAGGGTAATAAACTGGCAATGGGACGAGTCCTGATTTTGAGATATGCATGCAGACACAATTTATTCTACAATTATATACACTCTGAAAATGACTGGTAAGCGCTAAACAATGCTTAGTAAGTTAATGATGATCTATCACAAGCTTACATAATTAATGGCGAACTAAAATTTTAAAAACATAAATCAGATTCCCACTGGCTGCTGTGGAACTACCCCACTTGGTACAGATGTCAATTCAATGTCTATTCCACGTTGGTTCAACGTAATTTCAATGAAAGGACATTGAAAATACGTTGATTCAATCAGTGTGTGCCCAATGGGACTTGCCTCCAATGTCAGGTCGGAGTTTGTTGTCATAGCCCTGCAGCAATCTATTTAAGATCAAGGTGACATCGCTCTCATAGACCTTGGGCGATAAAACCCAGGTCTTATTTATGGGGACGTCTTCATAGTCCTCATCCTCCTTTGTACTGGGCCCAAATGACGCCACACTGCGAAGAGAGGAGAGAGAGAACATGATTGAGAGTGAGGGAGGGAGGGAGGGAGAGAGAGAGAGAGAGAGAGAGAGAGAGAGAGAGAGAGAGAGAGAGAGAGAGAGAGAGAGAGAGAGAGAGAGAGAGAGAGAGAGAGAGAGAGAGAGAGAGAGAGAGAGAGTTTGGCTCTGCAGATGGAACACTGGAATGACTTCACAGCAATCCATTAAGCCAGGTGTTTTGGCAGAAGAGCTGGACAGGAATCTGGGGTGGAGTGGAGCTGAAGGTTGAGGGTTTACATGACACACACTTACTGGCATTCTGACCAGTGTCATTAAGGCACGTTACAGGGGAAAAGGTGTCAGTCTGTCCAGATGTACGGCTTCTCTAAAAATGATTTATTTGATCAATTAAGGCCAAAGAGCACACTTTGGAGCAGACAGTAGAGTCTTGGGTTTGATTCAGGGAGAAGCTATAGAGGTAGATCTGGGAATTGTACATCCCTTTCCATCCACCCTGTAACTGCGCCACTGTATCTGGCGGTCACACATGAGCGAGTGCTCCGGTAATGCCAAGCCCGGCTGCTGTTGTTTCGCGTTAATGAACATGTATCCAATACCGTTAAGAGACTTGAGGACTTGGCACCTCGCCCAGGCCATTCAGCAGTCCCTCCCAGATGCTAGTGCACAACTGCCTTTAAACAGAATCGATATGGCCAGACCCACTTGTCCAGTGCCACTGGATCTGTAATCTCTACATCAATGTTTCACAATCCCAATAACACTGAGTATCCATACCCCGCAATGTTAAACAACCTAAAGGTACTAAATGTCCATAACCCTACTTCACTGATTGTCCATTAGAAGTAAGTAGACCCTTTTAGATGGTAAGAGGTGGCTGAGAGTTTGAAAAGGCGACTTGAGCCAACTCTCAATAAATCCTATCATATAATACATCATATAAATCTGTCAAATAATGACTTTGAATTTTTTATGGATTTGTACCACATCATTTTTGGTCAGCTCACAAATATATTGTTGAGGGCTGCAAGAATGTTGTGGTGATCAAGAATCGGTCCCCAAGACACTATTTTAGTGTCATAACCAAAACACAGATCTGGGATCAGCTTACTCTACTCCAGTGGTCCTGGGTTACTGGTTGTGTAGACCTTTATTAGCCCAGCACTAACACACCTTCAACTATTCAAATGCTCATCTAATACTTCACCAGTTGAATTGTGCTGCTGGCCTGAAACAGGACCAGGGTTGGTGACAACTGCTACAGGCCTATTGATTGATCTATTGATTGGAGCCAACTTAACGGACCTGTAACACCCAGAACTGACCCTAGACCAGCACTTGGTACTACCCCTCCAGCTGGCTGCCAGAACAGATTATGAAAACAGGGCTGGATGCTCATGGGAAGCCAAGGGATCAGTAAATCGGTGGTCTTTGTATTGGAAAACAGTGAGTGAATTGAGTCAATATAGCTCACTACTATTGGACACCACGGAAAACCCCAACCCTCAGAAAGCATGAAGGACTAATATACTGTGCTGATCAATACCATGCAATTCTGATGCAAACTATATTGTAGGGGCAGAACCAATCTACTACAAGGTGACAGATGAGTTTATGACAAAAAGATGTCTGAAGGATCATGGTTGTTATCAATACAAGGAACAGAGCCAACTGTAGTGACATAGCCTAATAGCCCATTACATTCATTCATTCATTCATTCATTCTATCTTCACAGCTAACCTTTATGAACACTGTGTGCTTTTACCTTGATTTTGTAATTAGTTTATGGCCCACAGAGATATATTGGTCAATTTGTGGTATTAGTCAATTCAATTTAAGGATCAAACTCATAAATTATGTATCTTGCTCTTGAAGTGACAGCTGATATTGCCATGAAGACTTGGTCCTTTTTGCCGCATAGGCCTATGTGAAATCTGCTCTATAGGCAAGAATATAGCCAACATGAAACATATTAAGCAAAATACACAGTATCTAACCTTTTATAAGCTAAGCTTAATAATCATATTTTCTATTTGAAGTGTTGGCAGGAGGTGGGGATTCTGATGCTGAGGCTTAGAATACCTAATGTTTGCTGGTTGTAAAATATTTCTGAACGAATATTGCGCGTTTTTTTTTTATGAAAACGATCATCTGCAGTAGCCTTGGTTTTGCTCAAGGTTGTCCCTCTGATTTTAATTGACATTGCCTGCTGAAATAACGGAATAGTATATACCCTACAGGCTATAGTCAAGGGTAGGCTATTACACTTGGCATTCTTTACACTAAACAAATTAGGCTACACTAGGTTTTGCAGTTATACGCGTCTAAAAGAACAATATTGCAAGAAATGTTATAGATTGTGTCTGGACAATATTGACAACCGCGCACGAATCCTCTGGCACAATGCTACGGGTAGCACCTAATCACATTCACTTCAGTATGATTGTGAACCCCTTTCACCCTAATTTAGTACCATAGAGGGACGTCTTGTCGCCTACTGCCTTAATTCAGAACCACCGAAAGCTCCTCGGTCATTCATATCCCCGCTAGTCCAATGCAAACTTACCAGACTCCGAGAAGAGCTAGCAACAGCCACGCATTCATCGCTTTGCCTTTGACATCTTGCAGCAGAAGCTTGGCACATATTGCGGAAATCCCACAGTTCATTTTCAACAAATCACAAAAAATTATCGGAACCAAGTCTGGAAAAGAGTACAAACGCGATGTCTCCCCCTTTGTTATTCAGCAGGAATAGGTATGCTTACAGATGTTTCCGAATTTGAGTGATGCATACATTATCTTTATGGTGTTGTGCTCCAGTAAGGTGGGCGAGGATAGGGTAGACAGACCTATAATATGACTTGAGAGAGCCTGCGTACTCTTCGTCAGAAGAAAAAGGCTTCAGCGAGTGCTGCACCAGTGATTCTTTTACGCTCATCTTGCATCTCTAACCCGCTGACACGGCCATATACTATATAGCCTATACTGTTCTGCAGTAGTTGAACATTTCTCAAAAATGTTATTTGTTTTGGTTTAAATTACCACATCATCTGAATCTATGCTTCAACAATTAAATGCATAGAGGTATCAGTAGTAGGATAGGCGTATCAGTATAATTTCAATCCTGCCATGGCGTATTGACTTTGAAAATACAGCTCCTTCAATATTTCCTTAAGCAAACCTGGATATAGTGACTAGCGAGCCTATATCTTTCAATATTCCCACAGTTCAACCCATTGAACAACTGTCCCTCAACGTTCCCGCAACCACAGAACCCAACCTATAGAATTAAGTTCCCACAAACCAACCTATGGATAATTAATAACTAATTGACTGTAATTGACTCTACTTCAATGTTCCCACAACCCAACCAACTGAGGACTATCCCTATGTTGCGACTTTGTCACAGGACAGAGTAAAAGGTCAGATGTTACAAACAAGCACCACTAAAGTGGACAGCGAAGGAATCGGCATTCGGTAGTTCAGCACCACAGGACTGTGGACAGCGACCATCTCATGCGCAGCCGTTCTAGCCTTGGTGCCAGTCTCCTTGTGCTCTCTTGCCAACTCCTTATGGAATTGCTATGCCAAAAATGAGTGAAAGGAGTTTGTATTTGAATTTGTTATGGATCCCCATTAGCTGCTGCCAAAGCAGTAAATAACATTGTAATACAATTTGTAAACATTAAAATACATTTTACAACAGATTTCACAATACATTGTGTGCCCACCGGCCACTACTCTACTATAACACACAATCCAGGTGTACGTGTGTATAGTGTGTATGTTATGTGTTTGGACCTGTGTGTGAGACTCTTCACAGTCCTCGCTGTTCCATAAGGTGTATTTTTATCTGTTACCAAGATAGCAGAAACCGATCTGGCACCAGGCTACAGTCTTTCCCACTAGAATCCCTGAAAATATATAAAGGAAGGCCTAACCAGGAGATGATAAGCCTAGAAGCCTGGAACGGGGAGGCTCACCTATCTGTTTAGCCTTTGTCAGTCGTATTTACTTCTTTAAACCAAATCGTAGAATTGTAGGGAATATATTGTAGATCAGCAAAAATGTATCTTTCCAGTTCTTTGAAATCCTATCCACCCACGCATGTTCCCACAACACAACCTATGAATAGTCTGCCTACAGCATATTTTCCACTGGTTAGGCTTCCATTGGACAGTAGCCAACTTTTATTTTAGTATAAAAAAAAAATGTATCCAGTCTTTATCTGTGGAAGTCAATCATTAACCAGTTCAATAAAAATAATATTCCACAACTCCTGCATTATTCATCAGACATTTAACCTGTGGAATATGATGTAAAAGAACATGACAAAGAACCAATTTCCCACTTGGTACCTGAAAATTACTGTAGTTTTCTCTGCCATTCCATTACCTGTGAGAGTATTCCTATTATATGCATGTGTGAATTGGAAATGTGTTTTTTGCATATCCCACTCCCCCTGAGTCACTCTCAGAGAGTGGGGTCACGGCCAGGGATCAGTGATTTTTGATGGCGACCCTGGAGCATTTAAGGTTAAGTGCCTTTCCCAAGGACACATCGACAGATTTTTCACCTAGTCGGCTCGGGGATTCGAACCAGCGACCTTTCAGGAAATAGGACAAATGTAAGCACCCACCTAATTATTATTTGTATTATTATTATTATTATTATTATTATTATTATTATTATTATTATTATTATTATTATTATGATCATAATAGGTGCTGCCTAGGCAGGGGAGAATGAAATGCTAGTCACATTAGTATGCAGATGCACTCCAGAAGTTCTCAATGCAATAACATGATAGAACTGCATGTCACCATGGCAATGCCCCCATTAACATTCCAAACTGCTCTGAATTGTCTGGCTGGCTAACATTGGAGACTGTCTCCCTCCGCCAAACAAAGCTACTGATGTTTGGCCAACAGCAGGGGGGGGGGGGGGGGGGGGGGGGGGGGTGATATAGTGATTTCCTATTGAAAAGTGGATCTGCTTTTGAAATGGTTCTGACGCCAATGGTCCAAGTAGATGTCTGTCTCTAACAAAATACCATCCATCTCAATAGATGTCTAATTTCCTTGGAGGATGACCCTGAAGGAGAGGCCATGGTAAATAAAAGGCTGAAGGAGTTCCCTGAAGATAAGAGGAAGAGTAGCCAACATGACTCTGCATGGCTGTCTTAGGGGTGACTAACCACTTATCTTCCCACTCAGCAGTCAAGGTGAAGCCTCTCTGTTGGATGGATGACTTTTCACCTCTCACCTGTCTTATGTTATGAAATGATCCTAATGATAATCCAGACACACAATCTAGACTTAAAGGGGGCGTTCACTTACTTTTAACATCAAAGCCTCTATTCGGAGACCTATCCTCTGTTGCTAGGCAACTGTATCAACACCTTGTTCATGCCTGACTGGCGTGCCTTTAAAGGGGAATCTCACATCTCCTGGTTTGTCTTCACTGTTTCCTCATATGTTTCTCTCTTTGCCAGAGCTGTGTCTTTCTGCGTACCCGTTAGGAGATCTGTGAGAGAGGACCTCATCAAATGCAATCACACCTTGCTCTATCAGGTTAGCCAAGCCTCTCATGCAAACACCAACGCGGTGCAATTCCATTATTTCTCATTCCCAGGGTAAATCTTTCCACAGCTTAGAAGAGTGAACATAGTAATGTATTTTTAAAAAAGTGAGAACAAAGAACAAAGACACCCTATTGGAATTCTAAAATGGCTGAAAGCCAAGTATTTGAGAAGACCCTGATTAAGTCTGCATTTCTAAAGCAGTTCCTAATGCCAATCTCCAGAGAGGAAAGATTATTTCCAATCAAAACTTCAGACTACCTTAATTTCTAATAGGCTATTTTAAAGGGGAAAGAAGTAGATGAGTGATGAAGGTTAACTGTAAGAGAGAAGGGGAATTGATAGGATAACCTAAGTCTTTGTTCACAGTATGAACTTCTCCAGAGCCTAATTAACATGCATCAAAATGAGTAGACTCTGCAGTGACCTTGTGTCACGTCTCCTCCCGTTGCTCCCCTCCGGCGCTCTGATTCGCCGGTCTACTGAGCCCCCGGTTTGTGGGGCAGTTTAAGGTCCTCCGGCAGATAAATGAGGCTGCTCCTTCCCCCTCACTACCGTGTCTCACCCACTTTTCATGTGTCTCTCCTCAGGCCGGTGGTTCCTGGTCCTCTCGCGGATGCCGTCCCCCGGGGTACGCCTCCTCCGCTCCTGGACATTGACGGGAGTCCGGCGTATGCGGTGAGGGATCTGCAGGATGTTGTGTGTGATTGTTTTGCTTCGTGTCATGTACTCTATCTTTGTTAATTCTCTTTGTCATTGTTTGAGTAAACCTTGACCTTGTTAATTCCTGCGTCTGCGTCCTGCCTCTTCGTATCCTCAGTACTCATCACACCTTGGCCTACAAATGAAACACATACTGAATAAAGATATATTACATTAGCGGTAATCACACAAAAAGGCCAATTTTATGTTGATTCCCAAAATGAATTGTCTGTTTGGTTTCATAATATAATATATATTATTAAACACAGTTTACCTCAAAAATAAGGGTAGCCCAAAAGAGTAGGCAGGAGGTACATAAACAGAGAAACTGCACTGAGCTCTCTTTTAAGCCAAAGTTACTCGTCTTTGGATCTTGAGGCTTGTCTCCTCTGGCAAAGGAGTCTATTGATTAAGTTTGACGGGATCTGTCGGGGTCTGTCAACAAAGAGAGCTAAAGCAGAATTGTGTTCGGTATTTGGTCTGTGCTCATGTTGTGTTCGCTCTTCAGTGTGTGCATTATACTGATGCTGTGGTTTGTCTGGGTTGGTGCTGTGATTGTGATCTCATGTGGTCTCATGTGGCATCAACTTAGTTAAAGGAAATCTGTGCATAAACAGTGAAATGTAACTAACTTTATTGGAGGAGTAAATTATCTTAACCTCTCCCCAAAAAGAAAGTTATGATATTATGATGAAAAAATACATTAGGCTCATTTCATGCTCACTAATATACAGGTATGGTCTACTTTATTGTTACATTATTGCACAGAGGAAGAAAGTGCAAACAAGCACACAGAAACCGTACACTCACCTGGATGTCTAGTTCTTAATAACAAAACCAGATGACACTCAGCCCTCCAGGATTTGGAGTATTACACCCCTGATTTACATCAAGCTGATAGGACAAGCCCCTACTAAACCAGCACGTGTTTGAGCTTTTCTAAGCCATCGTGTATTTTCAGTCTGATGCACCTATGATTTTGAGCTTATATAGTGGGAAGATGAAGACAAGCTCCCTTGACATCTGCAGACAGACACAGGCTAACTGGTTAAGGGGGCACAGTGGGATGCGGGAGTGGAGATAAGAGTTCTGATGACACTCGACAGCTCTACCCACTAGCGATTGGCCTCATAGGTCCAGCTTAAAAGAGATCAGGGAAGAGAGATTGTGCTTCCCTTGATGGCCAGGGGGCTAAGTGTGTGTTTTGACAAATGTCAGCTGTACTGACAGAGCCATAGAGTGGGTGTGTATTAGTGTGTGTCTGTGTACAGTATCTTTCTGTGAGACTGTGAACACATACATGTCCTTATGCTTTAGGGTGCCTTCAAACATAAACGTGGTGGTGGGGAGAAACTATTCAGTGAAACGCTGTTGTACGTTTTCAATTGGTTGACAGAAACGTCTGAACTTTTCTGATGGACAGTGCAACACAACACTAGGCTCTGCCCCAACGCATTGCTCCCATTGAAAAACATTGAGTTGTTCAGTTTTACGCATCAGTTTGTTTGGTTTGAAGGCATCCTTAGTGCATGTGTGTGCATGTGAAAGTGTCAAAGAATTTGTTGAATTTAGACTAGAGAATAGAGAATAAAATAATATAAACCCTAGCTTAATCTCCACATTAATGATGAGTTATATAGAGGGCCTACATTATATTCACTACCCATGGTTCAACAACCTCATCAAGCACCACTTTACTTTCCAATTCAATTATAGGCTATAAGAGGACCGTACAGTTAATCTGAACAGGTCTTGAACGCAACATTCACATTTTTGCTACTTAATCAATTTATGGCTAGTATCTAGGCCTATATGGGTTTCTAGGGAGGTTAATCTTAGTGGAGTTTGCAGTCAAAACACATTCAAAAGCAGACAAACACTGAAACAGATAAGTAGAGAGACGATTTGAGGATTAAGGGCGAGCAGAAAGGAAGATTCACACAGTGAGGTAATTCTGCTGACAGACTGCACTGCTTGCTGTTTCCTTTTAGAGCACCATACTGTACAGTCTGCTCTGATATCGATTGTGGCCATTTCAGCAACACTAGGTATTCAGCGGTGTTGGGGTATCAGCAGTGTGGGGATTTCAGCAATGTTAGAATTTTAGCAGCGCTGGGATTTGGGCGCTAGATGTCCTGCTGCTGACTGTCGTGTGTTGGCTCTGCGAGTGCTGAGGCTGCCTAAGGGAGGTGTGCATGTGTGTGTGTGCGTGTGTGTACAGTTACACATCCTTTTAATTTGAGCATTTGTACAGTATGAAATATCTGCTATATGAAAGGATGTGTTGGTGTTGACAGTAAGGGAAATTATTGTTTACTTCATTTAGATCTGTGATTCAGCCACTGCCCCCAGGCTTGAAGCACCAAGCCAGTAATCATCCGGGACAGGCAAGGGCAGAGGTCAGGTTGGTAACACCCCCTTTAGGCAGCTTAAAATCAAAGTCTAACAGTAATTCAGCCATTTTTGTTGAATATTTTCCTGTTTCATATGTCTACTGGTATAAATATGACATTATCAATCCTTAGGCATTATGTCACTCTTATGGCAGTGTTATGTAGACTGTGTGTATGGCTTCCTCAAGTCATGTGAAAAAGAAATACTGTCTGTTTAACTGAAGCTGATAGGTTGAATGAGGATGTCCGCACATGTCCTGTTATATGATTAATCATATGGACGCTTTGGGCTACTGTGTGAGTACGCTGACTAAACCCTTAATAGGGCAGCTCAATTCTTGACCATTCATTAAGAGTAACTTCTAACGTCAGGGTGGATGACTTCAGGAAATCTGAAGTTTCTGTATCATATCTATTTGTTACGGTTGTTAAATCTCTACAATATGTCACCTAAAGTAATAGGATAGGGTATCTACAGGATTTGTTAAAGCTCATGATAAGTATTTTTCATCAGACAGTTATTGACACCCTTGATAAAGATGATCAAAAATGTCTGTATAAAATAAATAATTCAAATACTGAGCTATTTTGTATGCAAAAAAAAAGGGAATTATATTATTTTATACTAATACAATTGCTCAGAGAAAGAGATTTTGTTTAACAACTAATATTATTATTTTTCTCTCAAAAAGGTAGGGGTCAAAATTATTAATACCAGTTTTCAAAACCTTTCAATACCTCACCTTGCGAGGATAACGGCACTGAGCCTTTTTCTAAAATGTTTGTAGAACACATTGGGAGGGATCTTAGATTTCTCCATACAGAATCCTTCCAGATCCTTGATATCCTTCATCTGCACTTATGGACTGCCCTCTTCAATTCAAACCACAGGTTTCAATGGGTTTCAAGTCCAGAGACTGAGATGGTCATTGCAAAATGTTGACTTTGTGGCCAATTAACAATTTATTTGTGGATTTTGCTTGGGGTTATTGTCTTGCTGGAAGATCCACTTGCGGCCAAGTTTCAGCCTCCTGGAAGAGGCAACCAGGTTTTTACTAAAATGTCTGGGGAACAACTAAGTACCTTACTATGATTGTTTTAAATTAAAATGGCCAAAAATAGCTTCTTAGCAAAGAACACTTTCTCAAGCAAGAATTTTGCTTGGACGGTCTGAGAGTGGTCTGAGTTGGAAGGGGAAAACTGAAAATTAGATGTTATTAGCAGAGAGGTTTGGAACTCTATTTCTTATTGGTCTATTAACCCATTTGCCGCATGGTGATGTCACCATTGAAGGCCAAAACTCCATCCCACCAAAATAGGCTGAAATTTCAGGCGGTCTTTTCAAACAGCTCTTACACTAAAAGGACATTATCATCATTTTCTCAATTTCACAGTATTATTCCAACCTCATAGTGTGGAAATATATATAAAACACAGGAAAATGTCATAAAACAAATAAATGTAAATGCCTGGAGATTGTTAAATGGCATTGGCACTTGGATTGGAATTAGTGCTTTGGTCAGATTACATGAAAATATAGCTATTTGGTCCCTTACCTACTGTAAAATATAGTGGTGGATCTTTGCTGGTACTGGGGCCCATTTCTTTTAGCATATAATATGCATACAATATAGCTCAATATAGCTTAGTATTTGAATTATTTATTTTATAGTCAGTTTTGCTCATCTTTATCAAGGGTGTCAATTTCCAACTCCACTGTATGCATCTGGGTCCTTTGATCTGCATCAGAGAAAAAACTACATTGCGTATAAAATGGTGGCAACAGGAAATCACATACTTGAGTCATTAAATTAATCAGTAAATACAAAACACATCAAACTCTATGATAGATAGTGATATTAAATATTGGCATACAGTACATTCCTGCAAGCCTTACTCACTTTGTGTCTATTCACTGTCCTCTGTCACAGTGTCTTTGAGCCTGTTAGTTTTCACAAAAGCTACGAAAGGAAGTGATCCTTCATCCATCCCTGAATTTATGGTGAGTCTAGCTGTGTACTGCCAGGACCTGCAGGATCAACAATCACTTATGTAGATCTGTGTTCACTGTGTGATGAAGAAATGGTGCAACATGACAACATGACTGTACGGTCTTTATTTCCAACTTATGAATTTGATCCGATTAACGTAAAGAATAGTGGAAACAAACATTTACATTATAAGATATGAAGGGCATGGTATAGGTTAATAATGGAGCAAAAACAGGAAATTGGTGTATGTGCTTTCTCATACAGGAGTCTTCAATACAGGGTTACAACTAGGATTTTGGTAACTATTTTGTGTGTTGACTGAATTATGGCAGTTGGTTTCTTTGAGGTTCAAATAGAAGGTAGAGAAAGCACCAGTGGTTTCTTTATTTATGTAAGTATAAGATCCTTACAGCACTATAAACAAACAATCAAGTTAAGTGTTAACCTCTTTACAAGTATAAACTCTCAAACAAATTACAATTCAACTAGAAGTTAGTCATCATTTACCTGGGTATCTCCTTGTAATGAATACACCTAAAAAAGAAAGCAACCATACTGACTCCAGTGTATGCCACGGCTCTATGTAGCCAAACTCACACACATAAAAGCACACAGATCATCAGTCCTGGGTCACCTGTGTAAAGTGAGTCCTGTCTCCTTGCAAAGTGAATATTTTTTATTCATTTGGACGGGACCATGTCCTTTATGACTGGTTCTCTCAGGTAGGTGGCCCAGTAGACCAGGTTGAAACCGCCGAAGAGCACAGGGAACATAATCCGGGACATACGGTCGATTTTGCTGACGCTGTTGAAGGTCTTCTTGTTCTGCTCGGGCTTGACCTCTGGCTTGGCCTTGTTGGGGTCAGAGGTGGCACTCTTGGAGATGGTGGGCATACCACCTTGGTCCTTGGTGATGTTTGGAGCGTAGTTTGCCACAGCAACGGCGTAGGCATTGTTCTTCTTCATGACGGATGCCTCCTTCTTCTGTTGTAGGAGAGAAATAAAATACACAGAGATTGGTTGTAATTAATTACTGATTGTAATACAAATGAGAGACACTACAAGCCAGAGGTAATACTACTCTGAAGGCTAACTGATCCTTCAAGTGTTTGATTGTTACTAGATCATTGTGTTTGTTTTCTCAGTACCTCTCACACAGCTAAAGCTCATCTCAAAGCACAATACCCAGATGCCGTAATCTGTTTGAAATCATTCTTCGGGTTTGAAAATGGAGCATCTGTTGTACAGTAGCTATTTCACAGTAATTATGATTATGCCAAATTATTATAATCTGCTAAATTGCCTGTTAAACCTTATGAGGTTTCATTTCAATATCAATTTGGATTGAAATGAACAGTAACCTTGGAGGTCCTCATGGAGTGTGAATCTCTTTGAAGTCTCTCATGACCATTCTAATTGGCCTCACTTGTCGAATCTGTATTATGGCAGGATATGTGTATGGTTACAACCAGTTCAGTTAGTAATAGTTATTCTGAAGTAAAAGCACACCCATCACTGTCACACACATTCCTCTGAGTATGTGAGCTGTGGAGAGAAAGTGTAATTATCAGATATGCTGGGAAAGGAATGAGCTGAAATCAGAATTCGGAACTCAGAAACACTTAAGAAATCTGAATGCTGGGCTGCGTTTAGAAAGGCAGCCCAATTCTGATCTTATTTTCCACTAATTGGTCTTTGACCAATCACATCAGATCTTTTCACATCAGATCTTTTTCAGAGCTGATCTGATTGGTCAAAAGACCAACTAGTGGGGAAAAATATCAGAATTGGGCTGCCTGTCTAAATGCAGCCATGGTGTCACATATTTCTCTGGTTTACAGTGCCTTCAGAAAGTATTCACACCCCTTCACTTTTTCCAGATTTAGTGTGTTACAGCCTGAATATAAAATTGATTAAATTGAGATTTTGTGTCATTGGCCTACACACACACACACACACACACAATACTCCATAATGTCAAAGTGGAATTATGTTTTTAGAAATTAATAAAAAATGAAAAGCTGAAATGTCTTGAGTCAATAAGTATTCAACCCCTTTGTTATGGCAAGCCTAAACAAGTTCAAGAGTAAAAATGTGCTTCATAAGTCACATAATAAGTTGCATGGACTCACTCTGTGTGCAATAATAGTGTCTAACATGATTTTTGAATGACTACCTCATCTCTGTACCCCACACATACAATTATCTGTAAGCTCCCTCAGTCCAGCAGTGAATTTCAAACACAGATTCAACCCCAAAGACCAGGGAGGTTTTCCAAATGCCTCGCAAAGAAGGGCACCTTTTGGTAAAAAAACAGACATTGAATATGAATTTGAAATACACCTTGAGCATGGTGAAGTTATTAATTACACTTTGGATGGTGTATTAATACACCTAGTCACTACAAAGATACAGGCGTCCTTCCTAACTCAGTTGCCGGAGAGGAAGGAAACCTCTCAGGGATTTCACCCTGAGGCCAATGGTGACTTTAAAACAGTTAGAGTTTAATGGCTGTGATAGGAGAAAACTGAGGATGGATCAACAACATTGTAGTTATTCCATAATACTAACCTAAATGACAGAGTGAAAAGAAGGAAGCATGTACAGAATAAAAATATTCCAAAACATGCATCCTTTTGGCAATAAGGCCTTAAAGTAAAGCTGCAAAGAATGTGGCAAAGAAATGAACTTTATGTCCTGAATACAAAGTGTTATGTTTGGGGCAAATCCAACACAACACATCACATCACCAAATACCACTCTTCAATTTTTCAAGCATGATGCTGGCTGCATCATGTTATGGGTATGCTTGTCATCGGCAAGGACTAGGGAGTTTAATGGGATAAAAATAAATGGAATAGAGCTAAGCACAGGCAAAATCCTAGAGGAAAACCTGGTTCAGTCTGCTTTCCAACAAACACTGGAAGATGAATTCACCTGTCAGCAGGACAATAACCTAAAACACAAGGCCAAATATACACTAGAGTTGCCTACCAAGATGACATTGAATGTTCCTGGGTGGCCTAGTTACAGTTTTGACTTAAATCAGCTTGAACATCTATGGCAAGACTTGAAAATGTCTGTCTAGCAATGATCAACAACCAACTTGACAGAGCTTGAAGAATTTAAAAAATATATATGCAAATATTGTACAATTCAGGTGTGCAAAGCTCTTAGCGACTTACACAGAAAGACTCACAGCTGTATTCGCTGCCAAAGGTGATTCTAATATGTACTGACTCAGGGGTGTGAATACTTACAGTGGGGAGAACAAGTATTTGATACACTGCCGATTTTGCAGGTTTTCCTACTTGCAAAGCATGTAAAGGTCTGTAATTTTTATCATAGGTACACTTCAACAAAAATCCAGAAAATCACATTGTATGATTTTTAAGTAATTAATTTGCATTTTATTGCATGACATAAGTATTTGATCACCTACCAACCAGTAAGAATTCCGGCTCTCACAGACATGTTAGTTTTTCTTTAAGAAGCCCTCCTGTTCTCCACTCATTACCTGTATTAACTGCACCTGTTTGAACTCATTACCTGTATAAAAGACACCTGTCCACACACTCAATCAAACAGACTCCAACCTCTCCACAATGGCCAAGACCAGAGAGCTGTGTAAGGACATCAGGGATAAAATTGTAGACCTGCACAAGGCTGGGATGTCCTACAGGACAATAGGCAAGCAGCTTGGTGAGAAGGCAACAACTGTTGGCGCAATTATTAGAAAATGGAAGAAGTTCAAGATGACGGTCAATCACCCTCGGTCTGGGGCTCCATGCAAGATCTCACCTTGTGGGGCATCAATGATCATGAGGAAGGTGAGGGATCAGCCCAGAACTACACGGCAGTACCTGGTCAATGACCTGAAGAGAGCTGGGACCACAGTCTCAAAGAAAACCATTAGTAACACACTACGCCGTCATGGATTAAAATCCTGCAGCGCACGCAAGGTCCCCCTGCTCAAGCCAGCGCATGTCCAGGCCCGTCTGAAGTTTGCCAATGACCATCTGGATGATCCAGAGGAGGAATGGGAGAAGGTCATGTGGTCTGATGAGACAAAAGTAGAGCTTTTTGGTCTAAACTCCACTCGCCGTGTTTGGAGGAAGAAGGATGAGTACAACCCCAAGAACACCATCCCAACCGTGAAGCATGGAGGTGGAAACATTATTCTTTGGGGATGCTTTTCTGCAAAGGGGAAAGGACGACTGCACCGTATTGAGGGGAGGATGGATGGGGCCATGTATCGCGAGATCTTGGCCAACAACCTCCTTCCCTCAGTAAGAGCATTGACCCGAAACACACAGCCAGGGCAACTAAGGAGTGGCTCCGTAAGAAGCATCTCAAGGTCCTGGAGTGGCCTAGCCAGTCTCCAGACCTGAACCCAATAGAAAATCTTTGGAGGGAGCTGAAAGTCCGTATTGCCCAGCGAAAGCCCCGAAACCTGAAGGATCTGGAGAAGGTCTGTATGGAGAAGTGGGCCAAAATCCCTGCTGCAGTGTGGGCAAACCTGGTCAAGACCTACAGGAAACGTATGATCTCTGTAATTGCAAACAAAGGTTTCTGTACCAAATATTAAGTTCTGCATTTCTGATGTATCAAATACTTATGTCATGCAATAAAATGCTAATTAATTACTTAAAAATCATACAATGTGAATTTCTGGATTTTTGTTATAGATTCCGTCTCTCACAGTTCAAGTGTACCTATGATAAAAATTACAGACCTCTACATACTTTGTAAGTAGGAAAACCTGCAAAATCAGCAGTGTATCAAATACTTCTTCTCCCCACTGTATGTAAATTAGATATTTCTGTATTTCATTTTCAATACATTTGCAAAAATGTCTAAAAACATGTTTTCACTTTGCCATTATTGGGTATTGTGTGTACATCGGTGAGAGAAAAAAATCTATTTAATCAATTTTGAATTCAGGCTGTAACACAAAATGTGGAATAAGTCAAGGGGTATGAATATTTTCTGAAGGCACTGTAACTGTATCAACCATCTCCTACTTGAGAGATCACAGATCCTTTGTGCCTTTCGCCTCTGCTTTTGAAGCACCTCATCTCCTTTTTCTTTTATCTTCCTTTCTTTCATCCCTCCCTCTCTTTTCATAAAGGTACCGCTTTAGATGCAATATCTCAACATGGATATTCAGGCAAACACTTCTGAGTATTCGAGAGCCTAGCTTACATCGAATATAATGTATCTATTTCTATGCTTCATAGGTAGGTCTTCGCATTTCCTTTACATTTATCTCTGCAATGCCATGGGGCTGTATAATCTGTACATTCACCGAATGTGTGACGTTGTTCAGATTTGTATTTGTCTTGACAGCTGTTGTTCACTTGTTCTACACATGCCTCTTATTACATCACTAAATTAAAACTGCTATTAACCAAATCAAATTTTATTTTTCACATGCACCGAATACAACAGGTGTAGACGTTAAAGTGAAATGCTTACTTACAAGCCCTTAACCAACAATGCAGTTAAGAAAATGGGGTCAATGCAACTAGTCCGGGAGGCCATTTTATTAATTGATCAGCAGTCTTATGGCTTGGGGGTAGAAGCTGTTAAGGAGCCTTTTGGACCTTTTGGATTAGTGAGTACAGTACAATGATAAAGATGCAGTGTTAACTCAAATGCAAGATTGCATGTGACACTCAATTTAATGAACAGCAATACGGGACTGTCAGTGGTCAGTGTGGTTGCCCTGGTTACCTTGACGTTGACCACACTTTTGCCGTCCCAGGCCCAGCCTCTTTTGGTGAAGTAGTTGACGGTAGCAAATTCGATGAGGGCAGAGAACACAAAGGCGTAGCACACCGCGATGAACCAATCCATGGCCGTGGCGTAGGCCACCTTCGGCAGAGAGTTACGGGCACTGATACTGAGAGTCGTCATAGTGAGCACAGTGGTCACACCTGTGTCATCACAGGACAAGAAAACAAAAAGACACATCTGATCACAAGCTAATCAAAAGTGTTTACACAATTCATTTCAATGATTAATACTAGTAATTCCATCTGCAGTAAGTGGAGAGTACTGTAGTTTTTTCCTTGTTAACTTGTATTTCCATGTGTAACAGAATATGGTATTTCCATCCACAATGGCAATAGATTATTAATGTGGATGATTCTCTGGTAGGCTACATAGAAAGTATTCCCACACGTGGTGGCAAACACCTCTCTGCGTGTTGAGTGAAGCATTCTTTCAAGATGTAACTTCTGTGGCTGCTGTTACTGTGAACACCTGGGGAGAACTCCTCACGCGCGCGCATTTCAAAACAAATGCATATCCCCATACCCATGCACAAAAATTAGGGCTGTCAAACGATTACAATAATTAAATAGAGTTAATGGCATTAGTTAATCGCAATTTTTGAATTTGCTCAAATTTGGCCCTAAAGAAAGCTTTTTCCATTAACAAAACTGTGCATTGAGTTGCAGGCATACAATGCGTTGATTGGGGACAGAAACAAAATTAGAATGTTTTAATAACATTTTCACCATAAACAACACAAAAAGTCACTGTAACATACAGCTATTAACGCTCCTAATGTTTAAGTAGGCCTACTCCCTCTTATCAATTCTCTTGAAGTTAAACACTTGCGCACACACTCACTCCACACACACACACACACACACACACAGCTTTAAGTACTGTTAAAGCTTCAAACATTCTAAATGAGTGTGACTATAGGAAAAAAGTGCTGGCTCTATGGAAACAAAGAGCTTTTAAACTTGTCCAACAATGTTATGAAAACACTGTAACCATATGTACTGTTCAGATAACTTTACACACATAGGCCTACACACTCTCCGTCCCACACCCTCCTCTCGCTGTGCGTGTTCATTTTGCATGTCCCGGTGCCCCGGGTGAGCAGAGTTTGAACATTTTAGGTCATTCGGTTGACTCCACTCACTCGGGGCACCGGGCCAGGCAAAACGAACTCTCCCACTTAATCCCACTCTCACACACATCCTCTCTCACACACACACACACACAATCATACACTACCTTTAAAGCGTCTCTTTGAGTACCCTATTCCTTTTCGTGATGTATTGTCTCTACCTTCTTGCCCTTTGTGCTGTTGTCTTTGCCTAATAATGTTTGCACCATGTTTTGTGCTGCTGCCATGTTGTGTTGCTACCGTGTTGTTGTCATGTTGCTACCATGTTGAAGTCATGTTGTGTTGCTACCATGCTGTGTTGTCATGTTTTGTTGCTGCCATGATGTGTTGATGTCTTCGGTCTCTCTTTATGTAGTGTTGTGGTGTCTCTTGTCGTGATGTGTTGTGTTTTGTCCTACTTTATAATTTTTTATCCCCGTCCCCGCAGGAGGCCTTTTGCCTTTTGTTAGGCCATCATTGTAAATAAGAATTTGTTCTTAACTGACTTGCCTAGTTAAATAAAGGTTAAATTAAAAATAAAATAAATACATTTCAGTTCATCCTGTGGTCAAGTCATCAGGTAACTTGACTGCTAGCTACATTCTTTTCTGTTATCAAACCAAAAAAATAGCGGCTCGCAAGTGGCCCGCGACATGCGCACGAATTTGCAGCAGAAAGAAAAACAGCTCTGGTAATATTGGGCATAAGTTTTACATGATTTTGGCTAGAGGCACAAGGTCTTCTGCGATGTAAAGGGGTTTCATGATAAGGCGCAAGCATTGACTAGGTCATGTCTAGATAGGATACAGTTTGTCAAATTGACGTCAAAGTTGTTTTTAGCTAACCCTAACCTTTTCCTAACCTTAACCTAATTCTCCTAACCGGCTACGTTATTTAACCTGCTGCGAAAATTCTCAGAAACCTAACACGAAAAGTCAATTTTGACAAAAGATGTATCCCTTCTAGACAACACCCATTGACTGTAGCTGTGTTGAGTGTTGTGTTTTGCGCTTAAAAAGGGTCCGTGCAGAAACGTGCGCTTACACCTCGATCAGACCGACAGCGTCATTGCATTTTGGTACACCAGAAGTACATTTATTTCCAATGGAACGCTGCGTTTGCCTTGCAGCATTAGGTTGCAGAGGCAGTTGCAGTGAGTTCTGTGTGGTGCATACGTTGGATTTATCTAACATATGCATCAAACTGTATGTGTGGACGGCTTGACAGAAATGGTACCAGAAGGTGAATGTTGAACTTTTGTTGCACACATATCCAGATGATGCTGTTAGTGTGATCGAGGCGTTAAGGTTCCGTGCAGTGAAGAAATGAAGATGCGATTAATGGCATAAAAAGAATGTACACTGATAAACATGTCACGAGTTAAACACATTATTAACGCGTTTACTTTGACAGCCCTAACAAAATATGTATTTATATAACTGTCACAAGTGAAAGGTGAGCTGTTGTCATGACCATTTATGATGTCTATCACATAATTTCTATGATATGTTTAAGAAGGCATTTCGGCAGTGCAGTTCAAGTAAAGTATTACCCACAAGCCACACGCTGATATGAAGTACTCGGCATGGTGCACAAACAGACTATCAGGCGCTGGAGGACATGCGGAAATCCCACCCTATCACACCACTACAATGCTTTAAGAGGATATTGTGTTTTCCTTTTGATGTTGCGTCACTCCAGACCTGCACTCTCACTCACTGACATACACAGGAATACACACAGGAATATTTTCTCCACTTCCTTGAGTTTCCTCCTCAATGATCAATAGGCGTCTCTCCCCCTTAAGTCACTGTTCTATGAATTTAGTCAAAGCAAATGCAAAGCATCTTCCTGTCTCTTTATTAATTGCCTGGCCCCATCGTTTTCAGAGAGAAAAAATACACTTAGATTACTGCATTGCAGGGGAAGGTGAGAGAATAAACAAACCTGGAAAACATGTTTTCTATTGACAATCTACACAGTCATTGTGTACTCTAAACATGCAGCAGACACAGGCATATTAATAGACAAAGAGTTATAACTTCTTCCTTCAAACCTCTGACTAAGATGACATTGACAGTGAAATAATGTTTTTTTTTTTTCCCCACATTGCTGCTGATGGATATGTTTTTTTGTGTGGCTTTTTTTCCATTGCATTTTAGGAAACATGAAACAACATAATGCAGGCTAACGGGGTAAAATAACAATCCCCGATTGAAAGGATAAAATGGCTTGTGGGGATGTGTTCTAGAGGTTGAAGTGGTGATGACTACATTAATAATAAAACCAGAACAACACCACAAAGCCAGACCTCATAGAACAGAGACAACAAGAAACACAGTTCTAAAAGGAACACTTTTCCTTAGATGGCCTTTGCTGAAGATCTGCATTATAGCGCGATTGAAATGTAAAGGTAATTTCCGATTGAGCCAACATATGCAGCATTTACCGTGAATGTAGTCTCTGCAAACATGAGAACATTGCCTTTAAAATTTCATTTGCGCTACAGCAAGGCTCTTCAGTGCTACAGATGGAATCGAGCCCTTAATGTTACAGGGTATTTGTGAGATATTTCATAGGAGTTTGTCAAACATCTTTGTTTATGTATTTCATTCCTACAGTAGCTACCACAGGGGTAGACAAGTTACAGAGTGTGCCTTTAAAGAGCAACTGAAGGCAATAAACAACTTCTCTGGTAGAAAACGGCCAATGTGGCATTGATATTAGTCAGAAACAATTATTGTAGTGTCAAAGTGTAAACAGGATAATTTGGGACATAAAGTCAGTCTCATCCAAAACTGATATTTGCGAGATAATTAGGGGAAAAAATTATGTCACGAAATGAAGGGTTAAAAACCTCAAACCAACTATAAATTGTAGAAATCAATATGCAAATATTGTAAACATTTAATGAGACAACTAAAACATGTGCAACATGAAAATATTGTACCATTTACATTGTGTAATTTATTGACGGTCCCTAACCAGCCCCAGAGCAAGGCTATTCAAAGTCAAACCAACTTTCCCACGGTTGCACACCAGCCGGCTGAAGGGAATTGGTGAAAGAAGTTGGATAGCTTACTAGGTAGTCTAGGCTACTTCCAGACACTGGTTAGATTGCTTCAAGTTTTCTAGAAGGATGAATAACTGTAACTGTGTACTGTTTTGGCAACTGTGTACTGTTTTGAATGTACAAACGGTTCCCACGTTCGAACACACAAAAGAGACACCCACATCAAAGCACGCCTCCAAGACCCAAATCTCATTATCAGTCACATTTCATAATGAGGATAAGTGAAACCGAGGCTAAATCAGGAAGTTCAGCCCCCCTTTGAAGCATATTCATAACAACTTCATGAAACCTGTTCACTCTTTCAGTGTAGAATGGGAAGGGAGGGGAAGGATGACTTGTGCCAAATCACAATGAAGCGAAGGAGCAATCAGCCACAGTTCGTTGACCCCTCTAGAAACAGCTGGATTTACCAGCTATTATCTGAATATGAATTATTTAATAACCTTGCATTAATAGCTAAACCAGGGTTTCCCAAGCTCAGTCTTCGGGACCCCAAGGGGTGCACGTTTTGGTTTTTGTCCTAGCACTACACAGCTGATTCAAATAATCAACTAATCACCAAGCTTTGATAATTTGAATCAGCTGTGTAGTGTTAGGGCAAAAACCAAAACATGCACCCCTTGGGGTCCCGAGGATCGAGTTTAGGATATGCTGAGCTAGACTGTCTCAATTAGTGATTCATGAGGATGATCACTGAACATGTTTGAATAGTAATAAATCTGTTTGATGCACTAGAAAACTGAGGGAGAATTGTGAACAAATTAAAATAATATACAGAAAATCCTGCAGTTCTTGAATTTGCATGGTGAGTTGACCCCAAAATGTAAACAATAAGAAAAGGGCTCATAATATAGAAGTATTCAAAGGAAAACAAATCTATTCCATAAATGGATCGATGGATATACTACTTCCTAAAACTTTAGACACTTATAGAAACTATTCTACAATAATGTAAACCAACAACAATGCATATAAAGACAACATTCTTTATGTTTTTTTCATATGGGGGCTGTTAAGTTGGCAACCAAGGGCATTTAGAGTAACTGGTCTGTGTGTTTAAATTGAGGGCTAAAGTGGTAGTTCGATGTTAAGGCCTATTAAAAGCCACTCCAGTTCGCCTAATGTTAAACCATTCATCTGATACAGGACATAATCTTCATGTCATTAAGGTTGTGAAGACACTGACTGGCTCTGAATACATGGAACTTCAATGCATAATAAGCCCTGATTATATGAGGGGAATCTACATTATGGGGCAGACAGAGAGAGTGTATAGAGGCCCCAGTTTAGAGACCGACAGATACCTGACATTTCCAAATGGGATATAAGGGTCTGGGCTTTTTTCTTTTTCTGTGCGGGTCGACTGGGCTTCTTAAGCATGCTGTGATGCTCTGATAAAGTGTTAGCCTGTCAGATTTAACACTCCTGCTTAGGGATAGGAGCTTTGTATGTGCAGCATGTGACTGCAAATCAGAGAAGAGTAGCTTTTTTGTCTGACCATTTGACCAGACTGTGATCTAAGAGCAGGTGTTTGACCTGACTGATCTAAGAGCAGGTGTTTGACCAGACTGTGATCTAAGAGCAGGTATCTAAGAGCAGGTGTTTGACCAGACTGTGATCTAAGAGCAGGTGTTTGACCAGACTGTGATCTAAGAGCAGGTGTTTGACCAGACTGTGATCTAAGAGCAGGTGTTTGACCAGACTGTGATCTAAGAGCAGGTGTTTGACCAGACTGTGATCTAAGAGCAGGTGTTTGACCAGACTGTGATCTAAGAGCAGGTGTTTGACCAGACTGTGATCTAAGAGCAGGTGTTTGACCTGACTGTGATCTAAGAGCAGGTGTTTGACCAGACTGTGATCTAAGAGCAGGTATCTAAGAGCAGGTGTTTGACCAGACTGTGATCTAAGAGCAGGTGTTTGACCAGACTGTGATCTAAGAGCAGGTGTTTGACCTGACTGTGATCTAAGAGCAGGTGTTTGACCTGACTGTAGAGCAACAGGTGTTTGAATTGGCTATGGTGGAACGCATTTGATCTGACAAGGGCTGTTTGACTAGAACAATTTAACATAGGATGTGTTTGACTTGACCATCAATGTGTTTGACCTGAACGTTGAGGAGCACTCTTGACCACTAAAGAGCAGAGACTTCCAGTGGAATAATATGTTTTACTTGACTACATAGGAAAACATGTTCAGCCTGACTGAAGACAAAATCACATATTTGAGACATTGCAAACATGGCACCATTGTGGCAGTAATTGCTATCTGCTGAGAACAAATAATTGTGTGTGAAAGCGATAATTTTAAGAGCTTACCAAATACAGTTCTGGCGGGTACAGACTCTCGGTTGAGCCAGAAAGAGACCTGGGAGAGGATGACTGTCATGATGCAGGGCAGGTACGTCTGGATCACAAAGTAGCCAATCTTCCTCTTCAGGTGGAAGTGGGCTGTCATGACGGTATATTCACCTGCAGACAGGGAAGAAGTAGAACAAATACAGATGAGAGTGTGGTGTGATAATTGTATATTTTTACACAAGTGTTTCAGGAGATTGTTGTCTCTACTTGGTGTCTCTGCTCAGATTCCAGTAGTGGCTACTGGTGTAGACTCATCAACTGGAAAATACACACACACACACACTGGTTACTCTTACTAGTGAGTGTGGGTTTTCATTTTCCAGTTAATGTTTCCTTTCCAACCCTTCACCCAAAGACTTTTGTTTAAAGACTATTTGATTTGAGCATGCCATTTCTTGATTATTCTGGTCTAGACTCACCTGTGCTTGATTTAATGGTCTCTGTCCCCACAGTTTGGCCCTGAAGGTGATACTGGTTCAGTCTGGATCCGTCTTCTGCTACCTCCACTGACGCTGATGCATTTCGAGTCCAAATGTACGTCACTTCGGCCAATGTGTAGGCATCTGCAGAGAGTAATAAAGGTCAATACTGTACAATAAATCTGGCTGCACAGACAAATGTACTGTAAATTGATTAATTGTAAATGTGACTAAACAAAAAGAAGAAGAAACTGTACTATGAAACAAAGATAAATTATATAAAGGATGATAGTAAAAAGTTTCGGAGCACCTTAAATGAAATTTGGCCCAAAAAGGCGAACTCAGCTACATACTGAGTACTTCATTGAATCAGAAGGCTCACTCATCACAAAACCCTCTGATATTGCCAACAATTTTAATGACTTTTTCATTGGCAAGATTAGCAAACTTAGGCATGACATGCCAACAAAAAAAAGTCTGAACCTTCATAGCCATGCATAACTGACCAAATTTTGAAAGACAAGCATTGTAATTTTGAATTCTGTACGGAAGAGAATTAGGACCAAGTGAAGAGAACAAATTAATAAACTGTGATGGCACGGATAGTACTTTAAAAACTTTAAATACTTAGAGAATAAAGTTGAAATTTAAGAATAAAGTTGAAATACATTTTTTAGAATAAAGTCCAAATTGAATTTCGTGAATTAAGTGGCAATAATATTTTGTTTTTCGTTATGAATCTTGTTCTGGAGGCAGCCTTGCCACAAGCTGGCACAGCCACAGTCATAAAATCTGATTTTAAACCTAATCCTAACCACACTGCTAACCCTAATGCCTAACCCTAAATGAAGACCAAAAAGATAATTTGTGTTTTCATGATTTTTTACAATATAGCCAATTTTTGACTTTGCAGCTGGCCTATCTAATGAGAAATCATGAAAATAAAAGTCAACCTGCGATTAAAGTAAGGGATTTGGATATTAATTGCATACCTCTCTGGCTCCCTGTTGCTGTGCACGCCACCGTTGAAATGCCTGAGTTAGATGACTGGTGAAACTATACTTTAGAATTGGCTTTAGTAACAAGGAAATCCTTGCTCTTTTAGCGCATCATTATCCCTCTAAAGTAGCATAATAAAAAATCCCCATCAAAATCTGTCAGTTTAAGCTAGAGATATCCGTTTTTTTGCATGGGCTGCAAAGTTGGCCGATCTACAGCGGTGTTTGTCAGACTATGAGACATCCCGAAAATGTCTGTCTTTTCACGAAAACGGCTGTATGGAAAGGGGAGATTCTCAAGAACACGATAGTGTTCTCCATTTTGCTCCATGACCCCCACAAGTGTCACAGACTCGTCTGAAGGTAAAAAATGGAATTATGGAGGTCCTTTTGTGCCTACCCCAAAAACAGGGTTATGTGTAAAAATAAATACAAAATAACACAAAAAACCTTCAAAACCTTATTCCTTATTATTATTTTTACTGTCTTGTTTTGTCGTTTATGAATGTGTTATTCAATGTATTTCTATGGGATGTGGTACTAAAGGCCAAATTCTATATTTTATCTAATTGTTTTATATAAAAGAAATTTGGGGATACCTAAAAGGGTCATAAAATTCCAAATCAAATAGCTAAATAATCCATGATATGACCATCTTAAAACAATTCCATGTCAGTTTATAAAGTATTCTTATAATTATTAGGACCTGGAAGAGGTTGTGCCACAGATTGGGTCTTTTCAGAAGAAGGTACCACACAGACTTGGATGAGGTATTTCATCCAAGTCTGTGTGGTTACATACATAGGTAGAGATGGGTGGGTTGTGTGTGTATGCAGGTGTGTGTGGGTAGTCAAATGTAGGGGCAAAACAAACAAATGGCCATCAATCTGATGATCCAATACACTTGTTCGAACAGGCGTCACTGCACATGCACGCTTATCAGTCTAATTATTTAATAACGCATTCAAACAGGTGTCACTGCGCGCGCGCACACACCAAGTTTCCCCCTGGCAACTTCATATAAGCATACACTCTTCTAACAGCCATGGTGCGTTATGAGCGCAAACAAAAAATGATCTTGGCTCTGTCACTGACTGGGAAGAGACCTGGAGTTCCTTGATCACACCTACAGCGTCATTGCGTTTTGGTACACCAGAAGTACACTGCTCAAAAAAATAAAGGGAACACTTAAACAACACAATGTAACTCCAAGTCAATCACACTTCTGTGAAATCAAACTGTCCACTTAGGAAGCAACACTGATTGACAATAAATTTCACATGCTGTTGTGCAAATGGAATAGACAAAAGGTGGAAATTATAGGCAATTAGCAAGACACCCCCAATAAAGGACTGGTTTTGCAGGTGGTGACCACATACCACTTCTCAGTTCCTATGCTTCCTGGCTGATGTTTTGGTCACTTTTGAATGCTGGTGGTGCTTTCACTCTAGTGGTAGCATGAGACGGAGTCTACAACCCACACAAGTGGCTCAGGTAGTGCAGCTCATCCAGGATGGCACATCAATGCGAGCTGTGGCAAGAAGGTTTGCTGTGTCTGTCAGCGTAGTGTCCAGAGCATGGAGGCGCTACCAGGAGACAGGCCAGTACATCAGGAGACGTGGAGGAGGCCGTAGGAGGGCAACAACCCAGCAGCAGGACTGCTACCTCCGCCTTTGTGCAAGGAGGAGCAGGAGGAGCACTGCCAGAGCCCTGCAAAATGACCTCCAGCAGGCCACAAATGTGCATGTGTCTGCTCAAACGGTCAGAAACAGACTCCATGAGGGTGGTATGAGGGCCCGACGTCCACAGGTGGGGGTTGTGCTTACAGCCCAACACCGTGCAGGACGTTTGGCATTTGCCAGAGAACACCAAGATTGGCAAATTCGCCACTGGCGCCCTGTGCTCTTCACAGATGAAAGCAGGTTCACACTGAGCACATGTGACAGACGTCACAGAGTCTGGAGACGCCATGGAGAACGTTCTACTGCCTGCAACATCCTCCAGCATGACCGGTTTGGCGGTGGGTCAGTCATGGTGTGGGGTGGCATTTCTTTGGGGGGCCACACAGCCCTCCATGTGCTCGCCAGAGGTAGCCTGACTGCCATTAGGTACCGAGATGAGATCCTCAGACCCCTTGTGAGACCATATGCTGGTGCGGTTGGCCCTGGGTTCCTCCTAATGCAAGACAATGCTAGACCTCATGTGGCTGGAGTGTGTCAGCAGTTCCTGCAAGAGGAAGGCATTGATGCTATGGACTGGCCCGCCCGTTCCCCAGACCTGAATCCAATTGAGCACATCTGGGACATCATGTCTCGCTCCATCCACCAACGCCACGTTGCACCACAGACTGTCCAGGAGGTGGCGGATGCTTTAGTCCAGGTCTGGGAGGAGATCCCTCAGGAGACCATCCGCCACCTCATCAGGAGCATGCCCAGGCGTTGTAGGGAGGTCATACAGGCACGTGGAGGCCACACACACACTACTGAGCCTCATTTTGACTTGTTTTAAGGACATTACATCAAAGTTGGATCAGCCTGTAGTGTGGTTTTCCACTTTAATTTTGAGGGTGACTCCAAATCCAGACCTACATGGTTTGATAAATTTGATTTCCATTGATAATTTGTGTGTGATTTTGTTGTCAGCACATTCAACTATGTAAAGAAAAAAGTATTTAATAAGATTATTTCATTCATTCAGATCTAGGATGTGTTATTTTATTTTTTGAGCAGTGTACATTAATGTCCAATGGAACGTTGTGCTTGCCTTGCTGCAGCATTGCCTTGCAGAGGCAATTGCAGTGCGTTGTGTGGTGCATACGTTGGATTTATCGAACATATGCCAATCTGTATGCGTAGACGGCTTGACAGAAATGGTAGCAGAAGGTGAATGTTGAACTTTTGTTGCACACATATCTAGATGATGCTGCGTACCATTTTGCGTAATGGTGCTGTAGGTGTGTCCGAGGCATTATGCCTTGATCACACTGATCAACATGAGGTATACTGTACTATCTGATCATGTTCAGGCATTTACATTAATCAACATCTGTTACTGTAAATGAGACAAATACATTGCATAAAGAAAGGAACAGTCAATCTGATAGAAGATTGATAGAATTTACGTCAGATACGTCTTTGTAGAGAGGCACATGGCATTGCTGTTTATGAAAAGCCCAATTTGACTCGTGAACTCAGAATGAACCTGACTAACTAGATGTTTCAGTCTCCCAGGCAACCAGTTAAACATCCAGCAAAGTAAAATAGAAGCAAGAATGAGGAGATAAGCTTACAACTGCCAAACTTCAGTGGACAGGAGTGGGAATCCATAGGGAAGTCTTCGAGGTGCATGGGACATTCCGCCTGGACCGTTAACCTGAGTTAATACAAAAATACAGACACATCATCCCAGAACCTCAGTGCTACTCTCACAGTGCTGTTGTTTTGTTGTGCAACCTTGTTTCCTTTGAATGGCCTCATCTCTCCTCGCTTTCAGGCTATGCTGAGACCTTTTATGTACAGATATGGTTTTCATAGGGTGACCCTGCCTGCCTGTACAATAGCAGTAGATCTTAATGATGGCGTTGGCTGCTGCACTGACATCTCCTTGTCCTGAGACCTGAGGACAGCTCTGTTAGCTCTCTAATGAAACTAGGGATAATAACAAACAAGCAGTTGATACCTCATAGTGTACAGCAGTGTTCCATCCTCCATGATACGGAGCAGTTTGTTGGGCATGGTCATGTTGTGAGCCACAGACTTCTTCCCATTGTGGAAGAAGGTATCTGGCGTCCAGATCTTACTGGCCATCAGGTTGTTCAGCCGCAGGATGTTCATTGGCCCATTGAACTTCAGCCGCTCATCAACCCAGCTCTGGCGGAAGAACACGTCCACAGTGTATTCCTGACAAAGAGAAGAGTACAAAAGACTTTAGCACAGGTTGAGATATGGGTAATGTCCCCCCTTCCATCACAATTCTCACAATACGTAATGAAGAGACTGCAATGGCAGAGGGTGTTATAAAAACACCTTAGATCTGGTAAACCTACTGCTGCATCATAACATGTGTTTTGAATAAGTATAATGAAACCATGAGGGTATTAAAGCACCTCAATCAATAAAATAAATAAAAGCACTTAAAAGCACCTGCTGTGTGTTCTAACGTGGTGCCTCCTGAGTCAGTGTTTGAGGTTGCACCTACTTTTTTATGTCTGGGGACATGCAGAGTCAGTGGTGGATGCCTGCTCCCTGCCCTCTGGCTAATGTCAGGGTGGATTTACGTCAGTACCCCCATCCCGCCAACATCTGGCCCTATGGGGTCTGGTGGGTACAGCCCCCCTTCCCATACACACAACCCCCAGGCTCCTGACCCCCAAGGGCAGTTCATGGGGTGACACACAAGGGTAAATTATTCCTGGACTCTGAAACCCTTTGAATTTGAAGTCCTTACTCAAAAACACATACTTAAAGACTTCAATGACAACTGTGAAGTTGCAATCCATTTATCCCAGAGCAAATTACTTTCTTTGTTAACACACTCCAAGAGCACAAGTTATCCCTTTGATGTTTCACAATGGATGTTAATTGTTGAGTTAAAACAAACAGGGAAAGCTCTGTGAGAAAGCCTAGCGAAAAGCTCTGTACCGGTTCAATCCACTATTATCACTTGGGCCCAATTTTTTAAAAGTTATCTATCCGGATTTCGGCTATTGGATAGACTAGAACGGGTGTCCCCATTCAAGTCAATGAGTTGTCCATTCTATTTCTGTGCATTTATTGTCCAATAGGCGAAATCCAAATAGATAACTTTGAAAAAACTGGGCCCTGGTCAATCAAATGAAAGCGTTTTACAGTCTAGAGATTTATCGTCCAATAGTCAGCCTAATAATGATTAGTTTTGTCTAACACTGACACTGATTCTATGCCACAAGAGCACCGTGGAGGGATCACAATACGGAGAGAGGGGAATATAGAAGCCATATATTTACAGACACAAAGCACAGGGAGCAGCAGGGATGCTGTCAAATATATTAGAGAGAGAGAGGGATGCCACTATCAGAGAAACACTATCAAAGCAGAGTGATGGCCCAAGAGTGAAATTATCCACTGTGAGCTGGAAGGAGCCTCTAAATTAATTATACATGTGCCATTTCTTCTTATTTTTTAAGGCGCTGGTTCGGTAGCAACCATTTTCCCCTCTTCTTTATGGTTTAAATATTTGAGAGCAGGCGGAAATGGAGGGCTGAGAGTGTGATGAAGGAGGGAAACTGAGAAATGCTTTTAAAGCCCAGCAGGTACGAGCCTGGAGCTTGGAGAACAAGAAAGAGGGACACAGAGAGTGAAAACTGTTAAGATGATAAGTCTGGTGTATGTACAGTATGTGTGTGTGTGTGTGTGTGTGTGTGTGTCAAATCAAATGTATTGGTCACATACACATGGTTAGCAGATGTTATTGCGAGTGTAGCGAAATGCTTGTGCTTCTAGTTCCGACAGTGCAGCAATATCTAGCAAGTAATATCTAACAGTTCCACAACAAAAACCTAATACACACAATCTAAGTAAAGGAATGGAATAAGAATATATAAATATATGGATGAGCAATGTCATTATCAGAGTGGCATAGGCTAAGTTGCAATGTCATTATCAGAGTGGCATAGGCTAAGATGCAATAGATAGAATAGAAGTTCAATAGATAGTGTGTGTGTGTGTGTGTGTCAAATAAAAAAAAGTGCACCTATAACGGCAACAGAGAGACACAGTAGTGATGCTTCCCCAAAATCACATGAAATGTTGATGGACCAAACACAATGTAAAGGGTCAGTCTCTGTCCTACTTAAAATATATGTGAAATACTTAACATATATCAATTTATATTTATTGTTAAATATAAGCTTATTTATCAAAATAAACAATGAAATACTGTATCTTCATAGATGAAAGAAGCTGAATATATTTCACTAAGGGCCTTATCGCAGTAGTCTAATACCTAGTATAACACTTACCATATCTGTGTCTGACACTGGACCGAAACTTGTGACATAAATATCAGTCTTCACCTCTGTCACCCGATCTGTAAAATATACATACACAAAATAATATAGTTTTTTTATAATTGCAACAACCGTTTTTAATGCTTCATTCATGTGTATCTTTTTAGGTCTATCTATCTGTTCATATATCAACAAGGTATCCACTCACAAATCCCATGTTAAAACATATGTTTCTGAGAACTGTGAGGTACATCTGGAATGAGACGTGGTTGAGATCAATCCAGCCACTGAAAGCCATGATTTCACATTAAACTTAGATGACTGTGCTGTCATGGCAACGCTTTGTCCATGATGCCACATTTACATTTGCTCATCGCTCATCCTCCTGCCTCAGACTCCCTGGTGAACAGTGGGAAGGGAACACACACTATATCATGCTACGTCTGCGCTGTCCCCGGGGGGAAAACACACTCACTCTCCTCACTGCCCTTCAGACACTTTAGGGGCATCTCAATTGGCTAAAGTGGCCTCCTTTCCTGGTCTCCAACTCTCCAAGCAAAGGAATTAATTCTGACCTAAGTATAGTAAAAGCAATGGTGGATGTCTACCAGGAGGGAGTTACATATTGATGGTGGGTAGAGTGATTTAATATACTCCCATATAATCCAAACGCAATATCCCAGTAAGGGTGCACAGCTCCGGCCAACATATGATACCTAGTGAAAAGTACAACCTAAATCCGATCCATCACTAACGTATCATCAATAATCATTCTTATATACAGTAAATGCATGTGTGCACACAAACACAGACATATACACAAACACAGGCCATCACACACATATAGTCATGATCAAAATTTGAGAATGACACAAGTATTGGTCTTCAGAAAGTTTGCTGCTTCAGTGTTTTTAGATATTTTTGTCAGATGTTACTATGGTATACTGAAGTATAATTACAAGCATATTGACAATTACATTAAGTTTATGCAAAGAGTCAATATTTGCAGTGTTGACCCTTCTTTTTCAAGACCTCTGCAATCCGCCCTGGCATACTGTCAATTAACTTCTGGGCCACATCCTGACTGATGGCAGCCCATTCTTGCATAATCAATGCTTGGAGTTTGTCAGAATTTGTGGGTTTTTGTTTGTCCACCCGCCTCTTGAGGATTGACCACAAGTTCTCAATGGGATTAAGGTCTGGGGAGTTTCCTGGCCATGGACCCAAAATTTCGATGTTTTGTTCCCCGAGCCACTTAGTTATCACTTTTGCATTATGGCAAGGTGCTCCATCATGCTGGAAAAGGCAGTGTTCATCACCAAACTGTTCTTGGATGGTTGGGAGAAGTTGCTCTTGAATGATGTGTTGGTACCATTCTTATTCAGGGCTGTGTTCTTAGACAAAATTGTGAGTGAGCCCACTCCCTTGACTGAGAAGCAACCCCACACATGAATGGTCTCAGGATGCTTTACTGTTGGCATGACACAGGACTGATGGTAGCGCTTACTTTGTGTTCTCCGGACAAGCTTTTTTCCAGATGCCCCAAACAATCTGAAAGGGGATTCAGAGAAAATGACTTTACCCCAGTCCTCAGCAGTCCAATCCCTGTACCTTTTGCAGAATATCAGTGTGTCCCTGATGTTTTTCCTAGAGAGAAGTGGCTTCCTCGCTGCCCTTCTTGACACCAGGCAATTCTCCAAAAGTCTTTGCCTCACTGTGCGTGCAGATGCACTCACACCTGCCTGCTGCCATTCCTGAGCAAGCTCTGCACTGGTGGTGCCCTGATCCCGCAGCTGAACCAACTTTAGGAGACGGCCCTGGCGCTTGCTGGACTTTCTTGGGCGCCCTGAAGCCTTCTTCACAACAATTGAACCTCTCTCCTTGAAGTTCTTGATGATCTGATAAATGGTTGATTTTGGTGCAATCTTACTAGCAGCAATATCCATGCCTGTGAAGCCCTTTTTGTGCAAAGCAATGATGACGGCACGTGTTCCCTTGCAGGTAACCATGGTTAACAGAGGAAGAACAATGATTTCAAGCACCACCCTCCTTTTAAAGCTTCCAGTCTATTATTCTAACTCAATCAGCATGACAGAGTGATCTCCAGCCTTGTCCTCGTCAACACTCTCACCTGTGTTAACGAGAGAATCACTGACATGATGTCAGCTGGTCCTTTTGTGGCAGGGGTTTTTGGGGGATTAAGTTCATTTTCATGTTAATTTCATGTACTTTGCGTTTAATTGCAATTCATCTGATCACTCTTCATAACATTCTAGAGTATATGCAAATTACCATCCTAAAAACTGAGGCAGCAGACTTTGTGAAAATTAATGTGTCATTCTCAAAACTTTTGACCACGACTGTACACAAACACAGGCCATCACAGATACACAAACACAGGCCCTCACACACATGCACAAATACAGTCACACTCATAATTCACACATATAATGAAGGAACCGCAAACAAATGACAAAAACAAAAGTGTTCAGCCAGCACCCCAGTGACCAGTCACACTGAGTAAAGTGCCTTCAGAAAGTATTCACACCCCTTGACTTTTTCCACATTTTGTTGTGTTACATCCTGAATTTAAAATTGATTAAATTGAGATTTTTTTGGGTCACTGGCCTACACACAATACCCCATAATGTCAAAGAGGAATTGTGTTTTCAAATGTTTTACAAATTAATTAAAAATGAAAAGCTAAAATATCTTGAGTCAATAAGCACTCAACCCCTGTGTTATGGCTAGCCTAAATAAGTTCAGGAGTAAAAGGTTGCTTGGACTCACTCTGTGTGCAATAATATAGTGTTTAACATGATTTTTGAATGACTACCTCATCTCTGTACTCCACACATACAATTATCTGTAAGGTCCCTCAGTCGAGCAGTGAATTTCAAACACAGATTCAACCACAAAGACCAGGGAGGTTTTCCAATGCCTCACAAAGAAGGGCACCTATTGTTAGATGGGTAAAGAAAAAGCAGACATTGAATATCCCTTTGAGCATGGTGAAGTTATTAATAACACCCAGTCACTACAAAGATACACAGCTGTGAAAGAGCTGAAGGTCGTTGGGTGCGGTTGTGTCTCTCTCTTGCGGGAGGTAAGCTTGGCTTATATGGTGTCGAGTAAAGCTTAAACCATGTATTTAGATTGTAGTTAGGTATTGTAGGTAGTTTATCTAGGTAGTTATCATAGGTTATTGTAGGTAATTATTGTAGGTAGGTATTGTATTCAGCTGAGCCCGGTGATGCACGAGGCTAGCTAACCCACTACCTGGACTAGCTAGCGGGTAGCTACTGGTAACTATTAGCAACTGTGGATAGTTGTTTCCAATGTTATTTCACGATTAAGAGTACCTGTAATTATGCCAGCTAGCTGCCTACCATTCAGCTGTTTTTTCTAACCTCATTATCTGAAGCGTTAACGTTAGGTAGTTAGTAGCTACTGTACTCGAAATGTAGCTAGCTTGTTGCTACCTGGATAGCTAACTAGACAATAGCTGGAACGACCTAGCGAACAGACGCGAACTGGCTGAATCGATTCAGTGGCTAGCTTTGCACTTAACTGGCTAACAGTAGATACTAAGGGTAAGTTATAACCTACATTTGTGTTTCATTTTTACATACTGGTAACCAGAGTCGTTCAAGGGAATTTGGGACATGGGTGACTAGTTAACGTTAGCTTGGCTCTCTCTGTGTGTCCGTGCCGTGGAAGGAGGGGTTTTTTCGTTGGCAGAGAGCAATGGCAAGCTAGTATGCTAACTATTCTAGCTAACTAACTGGCTGAATAAGTTGACGACGGACTCACTCAAACTGTCAAAACTAACCCAAAACTTTACACAACGTTAGACACGGACACTAATTATCTGCTTGGCGTGTTAACACACTGGTGGTTTGTTGTAACCGAGTATTGGTGCTAAACCGTGTTATTGGAGCCTGGCATGCTAGTTGGCTATGGCGTCATAGGATTCGGTGCCCTGGACGGTTTTCACGGAAGAATACTGTACCAAGTTAGCTTCCTGAATAAACTAAGTTAATCTATTCCTAGAAAACATTGAACCGCTGTAGTTTACAACAATTATAATTTCTAAAGTGGAAGTTGGGAGAGTTCTATTTGAGTGTTTCAGTGAAACGTAAGTGAGGGAGGCCCCGCTCTCTTGCTTTCCCAGATGTTTAGTTCATTTCATTCCAATCTCCTTTGCATTATTGTAGCCATTTTCTGTAGCCTGTCAACTATGCGTCTGTCTATCCCTGTTCTCTCCTCTCCACACAGGCTATACAAACGCCTCACACCGCGTGGCTGCTGCCACTCTAACCTGGTGGTCCCTGCACACACGACCCACGTGGAGTTCCAGGTCTCCGGCAGCCTCTGGAACTGCCGTTATGCGGCCAACAAGGCAGAGTTCATCTCAGCCTATGCTACCCTCCAGTCCCTTGACTTCTTGGCGCTGACGGAAACATGGATTACCACAGAAAAAACTGCTACTCCTACTGCTCTCTCCTCGTCTGACCATGTGTTCTCGCATACCCCGAGAGCATCTGGTCAGCGGGGTGGTGGCACAGGAATCCTCATCTCTCCCAAGTGGACATTCTCTCTTTCTCCCCTGACCCATCTGTCTATCTCCTCATTTGAATTCCATGCTGTCACAGTCACTAGCCCATTCAAGTTTAACATCCTTATCATTTATCGCCCTCCAGGTTCCCTTGGAGAGTTCATCAATGAGCTTGACGCCTTCATAAGTTCCTTTCCTGAGGATGGCTCATCCCTCACAGTTCTGGGTGACTTTAACCTCCCTACGTCTGCCTTTGACTCATTTCTCTCTGCCTCCTTCTTTCCACTCCTCTCCTCTTTTGACCTCACCCTCTCACCATCCCCTCCTACTCACAAGGCAGGCAATACGCTTGACCTCATCTTTACTAGACGCTGTTCTTCTACTAATCTCACTGCAACTCCCCTCCAAGTCTCCGACCACTACTTTCTATCATTTTCTCTCTCGCTCTCCTCCAACACTACTCACTCTGCCCCTACTCAGATGGTAATGCACCATCGCAACCTTCGCTCTCTCTCTCCCGCTACTCTCTCCTCTTCCATCCTATCATCTCTTCCCTCTGCTCAATCCTTCTCCCTCCAATCTCCTGATTCTGCCTCCTCAACCCTCCTCTCCTCCCTTTCTGCATCCTTTGACTCTCTATGTCCCCTATCCTCCCGGCCGGCTCGGTCCTCCCCTCCTGCTCCGTGGCTTGACGACTCATTGCGAGCTCACAGAACAGTACTCCGGGCAGCCGAGCGGAAATGGAGGAAAACTAGACTCCCTGCAGACCTGGCATCTTTTCACTCCCTCCTCTCTACATTTTCTTCCTCTGTTTCTGCTGCTAAAGCCACTTTCTACCACTCTAAATTCCAAGCATTTGCCTCTAACCCTAGGAAGCTCTTTGCCACCTTCTCCTCCCTGCTGAATCCTCCTCCCCCTCCCCCCCCCTCCTCCCTCTCTGTGGATGACTTC